ATATAATGTGTGTGATATATATATATATATATATATATATGTATGTATGTTTTGAGCGATTTTGTAGTTCTTTTGTACTGTTTGAATATATTTGATATTCAATACAAACAATGTAAATAAGCAGTTTCTGTGTTTTATGTTTATTGATTTAGAACTGAATCAGAAAAGCCCAGAAAAAGCATCAAATTAACCAATGCTGGGTAAGAAATGCCCAGCATTGGGTAAATAATTCCATAAATAACTTAATAACATTAACCCAACAAAAGGGTAAAAATAAACCAATGCTGGGTAAGAAATGCCCAGCATTGGGTAAATAATTCCATAAATAATATTAACCCGACAAAGGGTAAAAAGTGACCCACACTACTGGCTCAAAGTGACCCATTTTTGGGTAAAATAGGTCGACCCAGTATGTTGGGTCAAAATTGTTACCCAAAGGCCCTGGGCCCTTTTGACCCAGTGCCTAGTAGGTGATATAGTGACTACCCATTGGGTCACTGAAATTACCCAATTTGGGTGATTATTAACCCAGCAGTTTTTAGAGTGAGGGGTGTGTGTGTGTGTGTGTGTGTGTGTGTGTGTGTGTGTGTGACTCCACAGTGAAAGTATAATTAATGATTAAGATTTATTTTAAAGCACATGTAAGCAGACATGTAAACACACACACACTTAATAAATAAATATATATTTAAATAAGTTTAATAAGCAATATTATTGTTATCTTGTGAAAACCACGTATCTTTACATTTACTCATTTTGAATTTTTCAGATCAAATAATAGACGTTTCTTCGTGGTCGATCAAATCCAACACGTAACGTCACGAAACTTTTTCTTAGCTCATGAAAAATGTCTGTTTTGGAGATACATGCTTTTCACAGGACATTAAGGTCCCGTGTCCACCACAGTGTTTCCTCCTCGCTGAAAACGCCAGGCGCTCCTCAGGAAACACTCAGCTGGGAGCGTCTTAGAGGAGGCGTGGTGTATTTTCAGCAGAGATGTTTTGGTTGTGTCTGGTTGCTATGATACGGACTCTCTGTGGACATAAACGTGAGTAGAAGGTGGCGTCCCTGCTGTGGACGAGGGGACGTCTGAAGGACGCAGGGAGAGAGGACGGACCGCCACATATATGTGCAGCATGTCAGCAGATCTCTCCTCCAGTGTCCCTGTTCTTGTTTCGTGGGTCTACGATGTGACGGTTTGTCTTTGTGGTGTTTGTCCCTTCTCCGCTGTGATTGGCTAAAAACTGTCAGTGATGAGCGCAGCGTTCTGGACACAAGTCAACATGTTTCAGCGTTCGGCGCAGAATTCACACTCAGCTCCTCGTTACCCTGCTGGTGTTTGTGATGTGGCGTAAAGACAAACGCACGGCGCTCTCATTGCTGAGAGTTAAATCAGTAGGCTGAGCTCAGGGACACGCTCCTCGGTCGCCATGACGCTTCGTCTGAAGATAAACAAACTGTAAAATGTTCAGTCGAACGACAGAGAAATAAATAAATCACAATAAAATACAAAATTAGAAAAAGTTCAGACTTTGATCAGAGCAACAATTTTGATTCTTATTAATCTGAAGACGCAGAAACAAACATCTTGTTTAGCAGCGCCCAGTCCAACCACACACACACACACACACACACACACACACACACACACACGATCCAGACACAGTGAGAAAACACTTAATGGCTTTGTGTTTTGGCTGCTGCCCTCAGCAGGTGTCGGGAATAATCCTGATGGATGGAAAACGGAAAACGTCTCCGATGATTATTGGAGCCAGAAACGTTGAAGGAACGCCAGGCGTCGCGTTTGGAATGTACGAGCTGTAATCCAGCGGCATGAATCATGGCGCTGTGACGGCACGCAGTTGTTACCATTACACAATAGGCTTCACTGCACTGTGTGTGTGTGTGTGTCTGTGTGTGTCTGTGTGTGTGTGTGTGTGTGTGTCTGTGTGTGTGTGTATGTGGAGGATCACTGTGGTGATAAGACCAGAGGAGAGGAGGGAAGGACAATCAATCAATCAATCAATCAATCAGTTCAGTTTTGTTTATAAAGCCCAATATCACAAATCACAATTTGCCTCACAGGGCTTTACAGCATACGACATCCCTCTGTCCTTATGACCCTCACAGCACAGGAGAGGAGAGGAGAGGAGAG